TTTTTTTTTTTTGTTAATTTTTGAACGTAAGTCTAAATTTTGATCCAACATTTTTTGTTATACTTAAAAAGATAATAACGCATGTTTTCTTTCAGCGTTTTTATGAAGTAGTTATCATTCTCCAACACCCAATGAAATAGGAAACTCCAACTCGTCATCTTTTACCACGTCATCTTCGGTGGAAAGTTCATCCTTTATCGTTGAATTTTTTTTACTGTTCATTTTAGACGATTTATCTAATATTCCATTAGAATTTAAGAAAAGTTTTAATTTAATATCATTTTTTACCAATAATATTAAGCCGTTACAGGTGTCACACGAWTTATACAACTTCTTTGAGGTATCGTATTGTTCATTATTAATTTCAGATAATATTGGAACATCATTTGAAATGTCACTAGAATAATTATTAAAGTTTGGCATTGTAGTTGCTTTGTAATTTTTACTGTTCTCATCCTCATTTTTTTCAGATATACAATATTTTATAGTAGAAGTTTCAGTCGATATATTCGAATTAATTGAAACAGCAGTGTTGTTTACTTTAGAAAGTTCTATTTCGGGCTTTAGGGATATAGAAGATAGTATGTGATTATCCTTGGAGCCGGGTAAAGATTGTTTATGTTGATTGGTTATATTTTTCGGTTTATTCGTCCTTGGTCTCTCAGACGTTGTAGAGCTTATCCTTTTGTACGGATGATCTACAGGACTAATACCTGTTTCACTTGAAGTGTTGTCAGATTTCAATATTCCTGGTGGTAAATGTATCACCGTAGAAGAATTTTTATTACCGAGAGTACTCATCTTAGAAAATTGGTCCATATCATTTGGATAAATATACTTGTACGTATTACCAAAAACATCCTTTAGCATCAAGACACTGGGTTCATTTTTTGTTTGATGATTTGAAATGTTCGATGAATTTTTTTTTAATCCACGTACCTTAAACATTTAAATTAACAAATAAATAATCTAAGATTATAAACGGCGAATTGGTGTACCAATTGATTAATGCTTTTGCATAATAAATTGCGTGTGAGTTATTTTAGTTTGTAATTTTGTATCCACGACAGTAAAAAAAAGCTTCAACCTTAATCTTTGTGGGCGTTGTCTACTTTATAATACAAGCATTTTACAAAAACAGTTAAGATAGATATTCATCTTTAGTTGATGCAACGATGTAAGTAATTCAAAAAATACATGGATACTTGAAATTTTCTTAAAATCGTTATGCTACAATTTTCTATACATGGAAGTATTCAAAATATTTATATTCTTTTTGAGCTATTTAAAGATATTTGACAACTTCGATATATTTTTAGCTATTATCAATAAATGTCAGTAAACAACTTTTCACATGGTCAAAAAGCTTGAAAATTGAATACATGGCTCATCATAATTTGTTATAATATAATAGGTATGATATATTTTCTTAGAAACATTTAAAATTCAAATTTGGACGAAATTTAATAAATGTTTAGAATAAATATTTAGAAATTAAGAATAATCACTTGAGTTATTTTGTTATAGGTACCTAATTCAAAATTATATTTGAAACTTTTACATATACTATTAATTTTTACTAAACCCAATTACATTCTCAAAATATTTTAACTAATYACAAACTTTTATACCGTACAACGCCAACCGAATAACTAATAGTAAAATAAACACTATAATACCAATATAAATATACTATTATATATTAYATATAATAGATATATGTATTTACATTCCTACTTTCTTTTTTATTTTACTCATATAACTTGTAACTTCAAATAATTTTTATTTTGCTGCTTTCATTAAATTATTTCTTATTGTGTTAGGTTTAATATAAAAATCTAAAATGTTTAAAATCAAACTAAAAATTTTATGATATTATAATATGTATAAACTTATAAATACTTATAATTTTTAATATATAAATATATTACAAAGTTGTAATATATATTATATATTAATACATTAAAATATATATTTATATGATCGCATTATTAGTTTCAGTTACTTTTATTAAGCATTCAGAATACATTATAGTTTGTACCCTTTACAATATACCTATTTTAAATATTTTTTATCGAATTAAAATACTAAATGGTAATATCAATTTAGTATTATAATTTTTTATTCATGTTCTAATTTCGTATATTTGAGTTATGAAGTGTAATAAAAAAATTTCAATCACTGAACAGATACTATATTTTCACCTTTATGTTTGTTAATAGGTCAATTTAATCTAAATTAAAGTTAATATCATACAATTGGAACAATTGTGCGATGTTAACTGAATATAAATTTGCTTTGTTATACGTTTGTCTGGTAGAAAMAATGTATTACTGTAAATGTATTTATTAGAAACTGATTGCATTTTTGACTCCAAAATTATTTTATAATTTGCCTGCTTATGCTGAATAATTTTTTCCAACATTTTAACTTAAAACACAAATAAAAAAATTATTATTTCAGAATTTTTTCCTTTGACCTTATGTTGTATATTGAATTTATTATGTAATTCATATAAATGAGTCATAATATTGAACTGCTACCTCATACTTGTTTGTTTTTATAGATCATTAAAAAATTTTATCTTGTTTATATTTAAGAATTATTTAATAAAAAAAAATCCTTTTCCGATTATTAATGTTTCACTAATGTAAGAACTTATTATTATCAACCACTTACCTGTGAAATAGCGGAAATCATTAAAAATATATTTAACATAAACCAAAACATCATAATTTTAAAATCGTAAGAACAACGTAATTCGGCAACAGTTAAATTAATTAAGTGTAAACACTTTAAACTCTACCTGTACCAATGAATAGAGATACAAATGATACAATGCATACAAACTATAATAATACAAGCATCTTTATATGAGTGACATTTGTACATATTTACTATTTAGTATTAGAAAAATTTACTAATTATGGCTGGTGAGGAAAACAATACCAAATTTGTAAAACCCAAAACATTGAAACGTGACAAATTTATAATATTATTTATTTTTTTAATAACGATTGAKCCATAACAGAAATTATGTTTTTGTTTAGTATCCATCCTATTAATATTAAAGACCTTTATTAAATCATAATAGATAGGTACAAGTTTGTTTTAAAAACAGCTTATTTCTTCTTCCTAAAATGGTACCTAATATTAAATATACCTTAAAGTTCAAGTGAATAAACCTTTAATTTTGTGTTAGGTACTATTTATAAATAGGTGCCTACTATATACGACATACGTACTTTATTTATTATGTATAATGCATATAATATATAACAAAGAATAATATACATATACTTATTACTTAGCTATTTTAATGAAGATTAAGAAAGAATTAATTTTGGTAAAACTCGATAAAATGGAAAAAAATATTTAATCGATTTAATTATATTAAAATATGTCATTAATTTTATTTAATATGTAGGTACCTATTTTATATACAGTTTGACCCACATAATATATTATGAAGAGTGTTTGTGGCTGAAAAAAAAGTTTAGTTTACTTATAGTAATGTCAAAACATTAAGTTTTTACTTTAACTCTATGATCCTACTATCTAAATAATATGTTTAAGCATAATATGCAATATCGAATAAATAGAATTACCATTGTTTTTAAATAAACAGAAAGTAATTCAGACTTTATCCGGATCGTTATAAAAATGTATTAAAAAGCTGTAATTTATTTCTTTACATAATCGCATTTTAAGCCACAGAACCCCACTCATACACGATATATCTTCCTTAACTATCCCTGAAAATTCTTCCAAACGCCACAAGCGCTAATGTCATAGAATCTACTGACAAACTAATATTCAATTGTATTACTTATATTATTTAATCGTAGTACCTCCACGGGGAGGTTTCTACTCTCTGTTTAATCAGTCATTTTTATCTATTTATTTTTTCTATCTATTTACTTCCTCAATTATTCTTATTGTTCATATTTTTGTAACAGATTTAGAGATTTAAAAAACAAATTAAAAAATCCTTATTTAAAACTTAAGTTTTTTTCAATTAAATTATTCCGTATCCTTTTTATTTTATATATATATATTACCTAAATTGTAATTTTATAACAAACTGTAGAATAATATCATACATTCATAACAATATTACATTGAGTTWATATATCTATGAAATAACCTAACCAAAAATTTGAATTTATCTAATAACTAATRCTTTTTTAAGTACACAATAATGATTTCAATATTATATTATAATCAGAGAATGTAGTTTTATTCACAAAAAGTATCAGAACATACAGTAAAAATGCGCTAGAAACATATAAAAATAATAATAA